GCCAGACAAGAAAGCTGATATTTTTAACAGTTTCTTTGCCTCTGTTTTCTTGAACAGGGACTGGGATATCCCACCTACCAGAGGTAGGGACAATCTTGGGGATAGCTCTGTCAGGCCTTCAGTCAGTGCAGATGTAGTTAGGGATCTTCTGGAAGGGCATTTTTCTGGACCTGCATTTTTAAATCTGCAGGTCCAGATGCCCTCCACCCAACGGTGTTGAGGGAGCTGGCAGGGGTCATCGCGGAGCCCTTGGCCCGGCTGTATGAGCATTCATGGTCATCTGGCCAGGTGCCAGGGGATTGGAAACTGGCTAATGTGGTCCCAATTTTCAAGAAAGGGAGGAAGGAGGACCCAAGTAACTATAGGCCTGTAAGCCTCACCTCGGTGCTCGAGAAGATCTTGGAGAGAATCATTAAGGAGCATATCTGTGGGGGGCCAGCAGGGGAGATCATGCTCAGGGGCAATCAGCATGGGTTCTTCAAAGGCAGGTCCTGTCAGACCAACCTGATTGCCTTTTATGACCAAGTAACTAAATCTTTGGATGATGGTGTCGCCGTGGACATAGTCTTTCTAGACTTTAAGAAGGCCTTTGACACTGTCTCTCACCCCATCCTCATCAGTAAATTAAGCGACTGTGGCATTGATGCCTACACAGTCGGATGGGTAAAAAATTGGCTGATGGGGCACACCCAGAGAGTAGTGGTGGACTGGTTGTACTCAACATGGCAAGATGTGAGCAGTGGGGTACCCCAGGGCTTGGTTCTCGGGCCCGTACTGTTTAACATCTTCATCAGCAACCTTGGACGAGGGGGTGGAAAGCATGCTGTCCAAGTTTGCTGATGATGCTAGGATGTGGGGCGAGGAGGACACACTTGAAGGGAGAGAGAGGCTGCAAATAGATTTAGACAGACAAGAATAGGATGGGGTTCAACGTAGACAAATGCAGGGTGCTGCACCTTGGGAGAAGGAATCCACAGCATACATACAGGCTGGGGAGTTCCCCTCTTGAAAGCCCAGAGGCGGAAAGGGATCTCGGAGTCATTATTGACTCCAAGATGAACATAAGCCGCCAATGCCAGACCACAGCCAGAAAGGTCAGCCATACCTTGTCATGCATCCAAAGGTGCATCTCATGCTGGTCCAGAGAGGTGATTCTCCCCCTCTATACGACTTTGGTCAGATCACAGTTGGAGTACTGAGTCTAGTACTGGGCGCCGCACTTCAAAAAGGATGTGGCCAGCCTGGAGAGGGTTCAGAGGAGGGCCTGCTTGGTGAGAGGGCAGCAGGGCAGGCCATATGAGGAGAGACTGAGGGACCTGAACCTGTTTAGCCTCAGCCAGAGGAGGCTGAGGGTGGAGCTGGTGGCCGCCTACAAACTCATCAGGGGAGATCAACAGCAAATAGGTAGAGCCCTTTTCTCCCCAGCACCAGCTGGGGTGACAAGGAACAATGGTAAAAAGCTGATGGAGAATAGGTTTAGGTTAGAGATCAGAAGGCAATATTTTACAGTTAGGGTGGCCAAAATCTGGAACCAGCTTCCCAGGGAAGTGGCCCTCGCCCCTACCTTGGGCAAATTCAAGAGGAGGTTGGATGATCACCTGTCTGGGGTCTTGTGAACCTGGCATTCATTCCTGATGGTGGCAGGGGGTCAGGCTAGATGATCTGTTCAGGTCCCTCCTGACCCTAGCTACTATGAAACTATGATAGTGGGTGCAGACAGAAGTGCAACTCCCAGCTGTAACTTGGAACATTTTCTGCAAAGCATTCTGAGTTACAAACAGAAGTTCACCGTTGGTTCTAAGGGGAAGGGGAATCCAGCTGTGGGCTGGAAGCCTGGAGCTAGATTTTTAGGAATTTTTCTTACTGATAGTGTGCTTTCTTTACAGTCTACCAGCTGTCCAGCCCTCTATGGAGCTTCTTGAAAGTATAAAGTTGCACCTGAAACGCCCTGTTTGGATTAATGCAGATATTCTACCTGGACCCAATGGAAGTAATGCTGTAGTGGATGCAAAATTTTTTTTAGACATTGTAACATCATTTTTCCCAGATATAACCTTATCACTGGGGTGGACAACTGGGTGCCAGCTTCAAAGATGCAAGGAAGGTAAAGATGGAAGATAATCATTTACATTTTTCAAGGTTAAATATCCCCCCAAATTTACCTCAGTAATCTTTATGGAAACAACATTCTGTGCATCAGTGTCAGGTTTTTTACAACTGTAACGACTATAAATAAAGGTATTATTATTACTGAATTTATTAGTCTAGCAATAGTACTTTATTTGCAACTTGCACTAAAATAATACAGTAAATGAACAATACAATTATATATGATAAAATAACATTTATATAATTTATGTTTTGTGCTAAAAGCTGACAATAAGATTATCCACTCTACCAGCTTACATAAAATTAAAAAGAATATAGTATATGATGATACAAAAAAGATCAAAAGAAGCAGTGGACAGTAAAACAAAACCGGGGAATTCTATTTGATTTTTGGCCTTTATTCTTTGTGTAAGTTATGCAGATACACCTAAGGACTGTAGGGCAGGCTTCAAATCGTTAAAGAGAAGCCAGATTGTTTTTATTTCATTAGTCCAGTATTTCACATTTCCCATGAATGGAGAGATCCATTTTCCTCTTATTTCTTCAAAGAACAAACAAATAGCAATTTCAGTAATCTATTTTAGGCCCTTGTTACACATTCCACTTAGCACACACCAATTTTAATTGCTGTTAATTAGGAAATGGTTTGAGCAGTCACATGTTAAGGTTCAGGTGCTCTGACCTACCCTTAGAGGGGTATGGCTAGGAGTCAAGTTGGCTCTGTGCCTGCCCAACTTGCCTGCTCTCTGGCAGGTTAGGTGGTCCGCAGGGGGTCAGGCTAGATGATCTGTTCAGGTCCCTCCTGACCCTAGCTACTATGAAACTATGATAGTGGGTGCAGACAGAAGTGCAACTCCCAGCTGTAACTTGGAACATTTTCTGCAAAGCATTCTGAGTTACAAACAGAAGTTCACCGTTGGTTCTAAGGGGAAGGGGAATCCAGCTGTGGGCTGGAAGCCTGGAGCTAGATTTTTAGGAATTTTTCTTACTGATAGTGTGCTTTCTTTACAGTCTACCAGCTGTCCAGCCCTCTATGGAGCTTCTTGAAAGTATAAAGTTGCACCTGAAACGCCCTGTTTGGATTAATGCAGATATTCTACCTGGACCCAATGGAAGTAATGCTGTAGTGGATGCAAAATTTTTTTTAGACATTGTAACATCATTTTTCCCAGATATAACCTTATCACTGGGGTGGACAACTGGGTGCCAGCTTCAAAGATGCAAGGAAGGTAAAGATGGAAGATAATCATTTACATTTTTCAAGGTTAAATATCCCCCCAAATTTACCTCAGTAATCTTTATGGAAACAACATTCTGTGCATCAGTGTCAGGTTTTTTACAACTGTAACGACTATAAATAAAGGTATTATTATTACTGAATTTATTAGTCTAGCAATAGTACTTTATTTGCAACTTGCACTAAAATAATACAGTAAATGAACAATACAATTATATATGATAAAATAACATTTATATAATTTATGTTTTGTGCTAAAAGCTGACAATAAGATTATCCACTCTACCAGCTTACATAAAATTAAAAAGAATATAGTATATGATGATACAAAAAAGATCAAAAGAAGCAGTGGACAGTAAAACAAAACCGGGGAATTCTATTTGATTTTTGGCCTTTATTCTTTGTGTAAGTTATGCAGATACACCTAAGGACTGTAGGGCAGGCTTCAAATCGTTAAAGAGAAGCCAGATTGTTTTTATTTCATTAGTCCAGTATTTCACATTTCCCATGAATGGAGAGATCCATTTTCCTCTTATTTCTTCAAAGAACAAACAAATAGCAATTTCAGTAATCTATTTTAGGCCCTTGTTACACATTCCACTTAGCACACACCAATTTTAATTGCTGTTAATTAGGAAATGGTTTGAGCAGTCACATGTTAAGGTTCAGGTGCTCTGACCTACCCTTAGAGGGGTATGGCTAGGAGTCAAGTTGGCTCTGTGCCTGCCCAACTTGCCTGCTCTCTGGCAGGTTAGGTGGTCCAGTTTGTGGGCAGCTGGGGGCTGGCAGGATCGCATTGGACCTGCCAGCCCATGCCTGCCTGCAATCTGGGTCCCCACTGCCCCCTGCCACCCAGATTGAGCCTACTGCCTCCCCCTGCTGGCCTGGATTGCACCCACTGCTGCACCCTCCCACCCTCAGGGCTCCCTTTCTAATGCTCAGGACTCCCCCCATCTCTTGTAGTTCATCCCTGCCTCACCCAGTTTATCTGCAGCTCTCAGCACTGTCCTGAAGGAGCAAACAAGGAATGGGAACTGGGAAGGAGAACTCAGCCACTGCTGTCATTACCGCCGCTGCCAAGCTGCAGCTGATCTCTGGGCTGAGCCCAGCCAAGACAGCAGCAGTAGCAGGCAGGATCCCTTCCCCTGCTTGCTTTCCCAGACAGTACTGGGAGCTGCTGGGGGGACTGGTGAGTGGGGATCTGGAGTGTTGTGGGGGGGTCAGGCCTCATGCATGGTAGGGGGTGGTGTGGTGGGCCTGATGAAGGGACGTGGCAGGCCTGATACAGGCCAGTCAGGGGTGGAGTGCTGCCTCTCCCCTCCCTGCACTGGCCTGCATAGAGCCCACCACCTACTGGAGAGAGTCCTGAATGGTAGGAAGGGAGTCCCAGGGGCAGGAGGTGGGCAGAGAGGGAGCCCCAATGGCATGGGGAGGAGGGGGAGAGTCCCAAGAGGCAGTGGAAGAGGCCTGGGATCAGGGCTGGGGAAGCCTAGGAGCTGGGAAGGAGGGGAGATTCTTACTTTTAGGTGTTTCCCCACTGCCCCTGCTGTCACTGTGGGGGAAGATAGTGTGGCTGGGAGCAGTGCCTCCTGGGATGCTGGTGGACAACTGCCAACTAGTTTTGGGCCTGTGGAGCAGTCAAACGTGACTGCAACACAAGCTACCCAAAGCCAGTTAGAGATCATCCTCACTGGAAGAGGATTATCAGGACTACCGTACCAAGTTGTTATTTAATTCTTAAAAAAAAAAATGAAAAAAATTGTGTGTAGACAACGTTCTCGTTTCCTTGAAATTTTCAGTTGATGAGTCTATGATAATATGCATTGGTTGTTTGCTGCAAGAGGCAGGTGCAGATACAGACATTTTGTTTGCCAGGGGAGTAGGGGGTAAATTTTGGGTAGGTCTCTCTGAAGTAATAGTGAGGAAAAAAGACATGCTGCAGAGAACACGCTTCATCTATGGAGCAAAGGATCTGGCTATACAAAAACCAATGAAGTGCTAAGTAGCGATACCTGAGCTAATTAATTCTACATACATTAGTTCTGTAACTGGTATCAGCAGCAGTATATTCATACAGTGCATCACTGTACTAGCACACATTTACTGCTTCCATTTCTGAAGTTAGCATGCACAGAGCTAGTTCAGGGACTTGTTAATTTATAAAAAGCAAGCATTTGGCTACACAGTACAAATTAATATGAACAATCAGGGAGATCAGCCAACACCCCCTTCTCCTATTCAGTCCTGGTAATAAAAACAGGTCATGTGGCCTATAGCACCTTTAGTATCTGTGCAAGTTGCTAGTACTATCTGGCATCTTCCCTTTTCCAGCACCCAAAATCTATATTAGCTTTTGTATTTGATTTTTTTAAACTCAAGTTATACTTTTTAGCCTATTCATTTGTCAAACTGTGAGTAATTAACTACACAGAAAAATATTACTGTGGTGATTGAAGTTAAGATTCCCAATAGAATGTAGAAATGGGAGAACAACTAAAAACGACTTTTACTAGTTCTGAAGCTTTCAAAACAATGGTGAAAGCAAGCAATTTTAAAGTGTGTTAAATTGCTCATTTCTAACATACCCGGTACTTTTTCAAGTAAAACATTTTACCTGCCTGCCCTTTTCCTATAACTTAAACAATGTTAGTTGTTTCTTTTATTGTTTCTAAAGTACTTTTAGTAAAAACTTTTTTCTTATAGTTCAAATATTCTTATTTCCAAAGGACCAGCATCAAGGTAAAATCATGCTTCTGTAACAGAACAATGGGACAAAACTCCCATTCACTTCAGTTGGGTCAGGATTCAGCCTTTATATAGTTATAAAACTATGCAATAGCAATATTAAAACAACACTTTAGGGAATTGAAATAAGGAATTTCAAAATGTGAGTTAATTTTTTTTATAATTTATGCAGATATTTACTTTGGCATTATTCCCAATTTGGATAGTGAATTTTTTTTGTAGTCATATTTTGATCAATTTCATTTTTTAGAAATACCAGATTTTACAAAACCTACACTTATTGACAGTGTTCAGCAATACATTGCCTTTATATCTACCTGTTCTGTAAGTAATACTGCATGTATTCTGACAGCACTTATGTTCTAGAGAGTTAATTAATGTGTCACCAAACAATCTTTGTTGTAGGCTACAGCTGGGCAATGGTGAAAGAGATGGCTGAAATATGCAATGCACTTACTCAACCTATAACATTCCCAGTAAGAGCAGCATTAGTATGGCAGTCAAAGTCTGAGTTGCTTTGGCTATTACAACAGTCAGAGAGGTAAGTTTTAAAATTTATATTTGAGTAAAATGCAGATATTGTTTAGATACTACACTATTATTTATTTCATATGATAACATTTTAATTGTTACATCTTAGTTCCAGAAGCCCATAATAACATAAAAGCAATGGATGACTGATAAAACATAGAAAAATAAGGTTTTCAGTCACCTTTTTCATTTAATCTTTGGTATATCTGTGCATGTTCTTATATACACATTATACTTTGTTTATTATATTTATTACTGAAACTCCAAACATGGTGAGGTCCCCTCTCTGTGCAAACACATAGATAAGCCCACTGTGAAGTGCTTATAATTAGATAAGACAAATGGTGGAAAATTAAATGTTATTATTCCCATTTGACAGACAGGTAACTAAGATAAGAGAAAAAATAAATTATAATTAAATATTTAAAAGCACTTCTAAAAGTCATCCGAATAGCTTTCCAGAGTTAAATTCTGTTACTCTTGTATATTTCAGGGTTAGATTTAAATTCCCAGTTCTGTTAAGAAACTGTGAATATTTTTTTTTCAAAGTTGTGAAACTCCTTTTTCTAGCTCTACAATATCACAGGATACCAGGCCATAAGCCTGTTACTGATCTATCACACAATATTGACCATCATGGGCACCTAAGCTAACATGATTTGGGAGTGGGAGGAACATAAAGGTAGAGAGAAGAATTTTCTGTGTGGAAGAAACTACATTTCTATGGTGGGTTGGTTGTTTTAAGTTTTTAACATTGGAATATTTCAGAATTTTAAAATGTTATAATAATATTAGAATGCCATAATAAAGTTATAATAAATTCTGAAGCATATTAAATTAGTGAAAACAGTGCAGGTGACGGGGTCAAGATAGATATGGAATTGAGTTAATCATATAGCTCTGAAATCATCATACATCTGGTCATATATACTGTATATAAATAAAAAATAAGGTTGTCTTGGTAATCTCATCAGTAGTTAAAGATTGCCTAACATTTTCCATTATTAACCTTTGTTTTTTTCTTTATTATTACTTTTCCAAATTTTAACCTTTTGTTCTCAAGCTTTTTTGCTGAATGCCTCAGACTAATTTTTTTTAACCTTCAGCAACTGAATTCAGTCATTTCCAAGACCAAGGTTAGGGAAAATATGTTGTTTTATCCACAATAAAATTGTTTACAGCTCTTTCATTAAGAAGCATTGGTTATAAAGTAGGAACTTAAATTGGGTGAGCGGGGTCGGCTCTATGCCTCCACATGGGGCTTCCAGCACTCCAGTGGGGAGCTTCACATGGAGGCACAGATCTTGCCCAGCCTGATGACACCCAGACTAGGAGCCACAGGATGTTGCATGCCATCAGCCCAGGTGGACTCCAGGCCTCCACATGTGGCTCCCTGACAGTGTGCTTAAAGCCCCACATGGAGGCACAGAGCTGAGTGGGCTCTGTGCTGCCATGTGCTGCTCCTGGGATTCAGCTGGAGCCACGTACTGCCGAGGGGCTCTGTCTGCAATGGGCCAGGAGCACCCCAAGGGTCTGCTGCCTGCAGCTGTTGCCAGTGGCAGGGGCTGTGTGCTAGGGTAGGGGGGGGGCACCCCCATCCCCATCACCCACCCAGCAGGCAGGAGCTCCCTTCCCCACTCACCAGCTGTCCAGTCACATGCCATCATGCTCAGTGCTTCCACATAAGGCTCCCAGATGGAGTGCAAGGAGCCCCACAGAAGCAGAAGCACAAAGCCCACACAGTTGGATGGTGCATAATCTCTGAAAGCCTGTGCTTCCTGCCAGCTTACAGAAGAACAGCCACAGGCTGGTAATCGTTTTTTGGAGGGGCGCCACAGGCTAGATAAAATAGCTTAGCAGGCTGGATCTGGCCCATGGACTGTATTTTGCCTGCCCCAGCCCTAACTCCTGATCTTTGCCACCAGAGGTCCCTCCCCTTGCTGCCAGAAGTACTCCTTTTAGACGGGGTTGCCATCTTGGAACCAGAAAAAAAACAAATCATATACAAAAAATCAAACATCTAATATAACATATTTTAATTTTATTTCAAAAAGTATCTTTGTCCTTATTTACATGTGTTTGCATAGTGTATATAGAGGTGATTGCATAATAGCTTCAAATAAAGTCTTATTCTTGTATATTGTGTGTGGGGGATTGTGGGGTGTCCGTGATCTCCTTAAGGCCCCCTCTCCGTGTCAAGTTGGCCCAAGGGCACCCTCTGTTTCTCGCCCACCACGTCTTTGCTGTTAGATAAGGTTGGGAGGCTGCCTTATGCCCTCTCGGACACGTCTCTATGTTGACTCAGACCCCGTGGTTTTCCCGGACTCCTTGTGGGTCTTCTCCTGCAAATGGGTGCTTTGGGGCACCCTAGCCTTATGGACTATGGCTCCAACCACCCCTGATACCACGCCCCAAGCCTCGCAGATGGAATCGACTTTGGTCTGTCTCTATCTCTCTCTTTCTACGTACACTGCTGCCCCCTCCTGGGGCTCTCCTTGCCCTCTCTCGGGGCCTTCTCTACGCTGTTGCCCTCTCTCGGGGCCTTCTCAATAGTGCCCGCTCTCTCTGGGGCTCGTCGTGCCCACACTTGGGCTTCTCAAATATTGCCCCCTTCCTGGGGCTCTCCGCGCCCACACCTGGGCTTCTCCAAGTTGCCCCCTTCCTGGGGCTCGTCACGCCTGCACTGGGCTTCTCAATAAGGCGCTCCCCTCTCCAGGGCTCGCCGTGCCCAACTTGGGCTTTTCTAATAATGTTGCCCCCTTTCTGGGGCTCGCCACGCCTACACTGGTCTTCCCAATAAGGCCCCACCTGGGGCTTGCTATATCCGCACTGGGACTTCTCAAATGCCTGCTTTCTGAGGCTGGGGTCTAAGCACCCAGTAAGCTGCGCCCTCACTGGTGCCAGGGCCCCCACACCACTGTGGGTCCCTTTATGAGGATACTGCACCCGCTCTGGCACTGGGGTCCTCACGCTTCGTTGTAAGTCCCTAATGAGGCCTCCTCCAACCCCTTATAGCCTCACCCAAACCACCGGTGTAATAACAAAACAAAACACAAGCCCCTAGGCTACAACATAACTATAAGCCGCCTGGCTGTAACCACATTGCTCTGACATCTTAGAGCTGCCTTCTGTTATCTGGCTTAGGCAGTACTTGCAGTTCTCACTGCTTCTCGTATCATGGCTAAAGGAGCTCCTACCTCTCTGGCTGCTGATAGGGAACTGCCAGCCTGGCCTCAGCCCTGGGCTTTATAAGAGCCAGGCTCTGCCTCCTACAGGCAGCTGACCGCTGTCAGGTGTGGGTCATTTGCTGCCTCCAGTTGCCCTGGCAACCCACAGGTGGGCTCTTATTCCCTGCTAGGGCTCTTTTCCCCGGCAGTTTCCCCTCTCTAGGAGTAGGGCACCTCAGTGCTCTGCGACAGTGCCACAGCCCCCCACTGCCAGTGACAGCAGCAGGTGACAGGCCCTCGGATTGCTTATGGCCCGTGGCAGGCAGAGCCCTCTGGTGGCATGTGGCTCTGGCTAAGTCCCAGGAGCTGCACATGGTGGCATGGAGCCTGCCTGGCCTGCTCGCGCATGCCTTCAAACCAAACCAGGCTGTTTCCAGCACCACAGGTGGGAGCTGTGTGCAGTCAGGCCAGGCAGGTTCCAGCACTCCAGTGGGGCAGCTGTGGGCCAGTAATAATTGTTTTTTGGAGGGGCCCTGCAGGTCAGATAGAATAGCCTGGTGGGCTGGATTTTGCTGCCCATGGTGTAGAGTTTGTCCACTGATCACTTTTTGCAGCAGCTGGAAACTATTGTGGTGTTGGCCACAAAAAGTGAACCCAAAGAACCTGTTTCTTCTGTGTTGTTGGTGCTCCCTCTATTGGCACGAACAAAGAGTTGAAGGAGCACCTTTAATGCAAGATAGTACAGAGGAGAAGAGGGTCAGGCTTGGAGATTGAGAGTAGAATAGAGAAGGGTAGGGACAGCCTGTGGATAAGAGCAAAGGCAGATTGGGATAGAAAGGAACAGGCACTGTGAGACAATTGGAGGCATAGAAAGAAATGCAATCTGGTGAACACTGGGCAAAAGGGTCAGTAACCATGAGACCATGTTAACTTTATTTCCCTGCTGGCAACAAGTGGCTGTGACATCCACTGTCACTTAGGTTAAGAAGCAGAGGTATGTGTTATGGATCTAAATGTTTTTAAACCTGCAGGTGATCTAGATCCATTAAAGTTGTCCATAATTTAATCTGTGTTTTCAGTACACTCTTCAAAAATGTAACTTAAGAAATTATATACAAGAAAACTACATTAAAGAACATTAAGGTTGCAAAGTAAAAGACTCAAATGTTAAGAAATACTGGAATGAAGGTTGTACATGTAATGTTACTATAACCACCTGCCCTGTGTGTACATTATAATACAGTCTTTAACTGGTGATCTTCATGTATTGCTGTTTTCCACAAGACGTTCTTTCTTAATTTTAATTCAGTGCACAAAACAGAAGGTGCTTATTGAATGGGAAGTTTATTTGGATTCTTCTAATTCAGTGTGGTCTAAACCCCATTTGTTGCATTCTTATTTAAATCCTATGCTGAATACAGAATTATCAACTTCCTTATCTTTTGGGGTTATTGTTTAGCACTTACCATAATATCCCCTTTGGTTTACAAACATTAATGTATTTGTCTTTTCAACACTCCTTTGGGATAAGATAGTGTCAATACCACCATTTACAGGGGGAATCTGAGACCCAAAGACATCAAATTAAAAATTGTCAAGTGTCCTCTAATTTCGAGTGCCCAATTTGAGGTATTTAGAGCTTAATTTTTTCAGGTTTTTAGTTTTTTTCATAGCAATTTATGGGTTCATACATAGCTCCAATTTAGTTCAATTACAGCTCTGAGCACTCAGCCAATATAGCCTCATATACCCCAGGTTGGGTGCACAGAAAATGAGCAACATGGTTAAAACTTTGGTTTAAGTGACATGATCAGCACTGAAAGAACATTGAGGAAAAATATATTGAAAAGCTACCCTTAAGTGCCATCCATTCCATGCACGGAATGAAGCTAAGGAGCTGTGAGAAAATTAGTATGCAGTAATATCATTAAAAACTGTCATAGTACATGTACTCAGCCTTCATTCTGATGTTTCCCAGCTTCTGATTACTTGATCTTACAAGCGTAACCTTTTTTTACTTATGTGTAAGTAATTATATGTCTAAAGTTAAGATACCGGGATCTTAGTTATTTTTAGAAGTTAATCAGTAAGGTGCTTATGTCTTGAATGTATTGTGTTAAAATGATGATGTACCAATTTAATAACTGTGTTTCAATTTAGGTACAGCCTGACTGTTTGGACAGGAAAGCAAGATCAGTATTCTACAGAAGATCTGCTCCACATCAGAGAGAATTTTGATAAAAGTAGGGTTTATTATGATATTTTAGAACCACAAAACTCTGAATTCAAGAAGGCCATAGGAATAGAAATCTAAATATAAAGAAAATATTGATTGTAAGATACCTAGGAATTACGTACTTTAACACAAAGGTTTCTATCCAGGGCAATACAGTCCTATGAAAGGCTTACATGGAGCACATTTATAAGTGTCATGCAACTTTCTGCTAAAATTTTATTAGAAGGCTTTGCAACATAAAGAATAATACTTACCATTTTTTTCTTCAAGTCTATGTACATGTGGATCTCTCTGACATGTGCTCTCTGTGCAGGAGTCCAGAACAGTGTCATTGCCAGTGTCCATTAGGGCTCTGGGGTTATAGGTTGTAGTCATGTTGGTCTAAGGACATAGGCAGACAAGGTTCTTTGGGTAAATCTAATATCTTTTATCAGACCAACTCAGATTTTTGGAAAAATTCTTTGTAGCAAGCTTTCAGGTTTAAATACCTTTTGTCAGGCTGAGGAAGCATCTATAGTTAGTGTGTGTTCTTCCTGGACGGAATGAACAGTAAAAAAGCCAGAGGCTGGTATGCATGCATGACAGGCCGGGGGGGAGGGTGGGAAGGGGAATGATAATGAATGTAGCAGGTAAAATAGTGGAGAGGTACCTGGGGAGTCAGATATCAGGCAGGTTATAGTGTGTCATAAATCCAATGTCTATATTTAGTCCATGATTCTTTGTATCCAGGTTGATGAAGTACAGTTCATAGGCTCGTTTGTGAAAGGTGTTTTATAAATTCCCTTTGGAGACAGAGTGGTTTTCTTGTGAGAAATGTGCCCCCACAAGTTATTGGGTATTCTTGTCCTTAATAGATTTCTGGTATGTGTTCATTCTGGTGCACAGTTGTTGTTTAGTCTCTCCTACGTATTTTCCAGCAGGGCATTTGGTGCATTGGATTAGATATATTACCTTTCTGGAAGTGCACCTGTAAGATCCAGGAATGCTGATGCTGTGGGGTGTAGTCGTTGTGGGGGTACTGGAGATATGTTGGCAAGTTTTGCATTTCTTGTCATGGCATGGTCTGGATCCATTCGGTGTGTTTTGGGCTGTAGGAAGTTTGCTTCTGGTGATAAGGTTAGTGAGGTTTGGTGCTTGTTTGAAGGCTAGGATGGGTGGCTTTGGGAAGATCTTTTTAAGAATTTGGTCTCCTTCTAGTATGGGTTGTAATTGTTTGAGGATTTTCTGTATAGGTTCAAGGGAGGGGTGTAATGTTATAACCCGTGGTGTGCGATTCGTGGGGGTTTTCCTTCTGTACTGCAGCTATTCTTCACGTGGTACTGGGTGGCTCTTTGAAATGTGTGGTCTGTCTCTCTGGGAGAGTATCCTTGTTGAGTGAAAGCCTTTTTGAGATTTGTGAGGTGGCAATCCCAGGACTTCTCCACTATTTTACCTGCTACTTTAATTCCCTTTTTCCCCCCCCCTGCCTCTCTCACCAACTGACTCCTCAATTTTCATCTTCACTGACTACCAGTCTCGCATGCGTACCAGCCCACCTCTGGCTTCTTTATTGTTTATTCCATCCAGGAAGAGCACACGCCAACTGCAGAGACTTCCTCAGGCTGATGAAGGGTGTTTAAATCCGAAAGCTTGCTAAGAAGAATTTTTCCAATTTATTTGAGTTGGTCTAATAAAAGATACAGATTTACCCAAAGAACCTTGTCTGCCATGAGGGCTTTGCAGACTCTTTGGTGGTGTGGGCTTGCCTCTCTGGCCTGCTACTACACAGTTTGTTTGGCCTACTGTTCTGATGCCTCTGGTAGGACCCTCACTCCTTGATGACCTGTAGCCATTTGACTGCTCTGCCCAGCCAGCCTCCTTGCATAAACTCTGCTGCTGGACAGAGCCCAAAATACCTAGCCTCCTGTCCTTAAAGGGGCAGTCTCCTTGGTGAAGTTACAGATCCTTACACAGGTGTAACCTTTAATCCAGCTGCCATCCAAACACAAAAACTCCCAGCTGAGCATGGTGCTGCTTTATATATGAGAGAGTTCTGTTTTGGCTTAGGATAAGCTATTAAAACTGAAGTCTAAACATAACAAAGATATGTGTGTGAACCTTGTCATCCAGGCAAGACAATACAAATCATAACCTAGTGAGTTTGTAGATGTGTTAAAGGGACATATGTATAACATGTTTGATACAGACTTCCAGAGAAACTCCCAAAATAAATAAAAACAAAAATCCAAAATAAAATGCAACAACCAAACTGACAAAAGAAAAAAATCCCAATACCTTAGCGCATTTTCATTGATATCTCAGCTTCCAAAAAGAGCAAGTTTCATAATCCACATTTAATAAATAGGGAAACTGAAAAACAAAATGACTTGCTAGATCATTCAGTGAATCAGAAATGAAGTTAGGGCAAGAACCAAACTTTATGACTCCTGATTTCATGTTTTTAACAATGGACCACATTGGAGACGGACGCTGAGGAAACCCAATGAAGTAACAATACAATTATCTCCCTCTGTAGAAAGTATTTTACAGAGTTTCAGGCAAATGTGAATTCATGCAAGAGGAATGGTTTATGTATTTACAACTATATAGGGGGTTCTCACTAGTGAAGTTCAGTCCATTGGTCACTTGATCAGTTCACAGAGGTCAAAACAAGAGAACAGGAGTTCTAAAAAATTGTCAGCAAACTTTGAAAGAGTTTAGATGATCTAAGAATTACAGGATCAGATACTAGCTCAGTTTGCCTTATTATTATGGGTTATAAGGGGAAAGAATACTCACCCCACCATTTTTATGCCTCAACATGGAAACAAGGAGAGCCATAGGGCACATTAGTGGTCTCAACAGAAACTAGTCTTGACAGTCTCACAAGCATGTGGATGATGTGAGCTACATTGGTACATACTCAAAAGTTTTAATTTTTATTTCAGAGCTTTAACTTTAAACATTTATCCCATTATTTCCATCATCTAACAACAGATTATAGTGATTCTGCTTTATTAAAAGGTGATTTTGTGCTCTGCAGCCTTTAGCTAACACTGAACAGACATGCCCTCAGTGGCTTTCAAGTGAGCTGACACTTTTCAGAAGTCATAGGTTGTTAACTCTCTCATTTGGGACATAATTAGTGTGACACAAAAATAAAAAAAGTTACTGAAATCAAGAGCTGTTCTTTGAGGATGGTGTGCTCATTGATGCTCTTCATGAGGCACGTGACCCTTTGTAGAGGAATTTCGAATGTTTTCACCATATGTTGCTTTGGAGCCATGCTCTGTGTATGCCTCTACCCCTTCTCCTAAAGGGAAAGCAGGGCCAACCACCACTCAATTCCTTCATCACCCAAATGACTGGACTTTGAGCTGCAGAGAAAGAGAGTGATCTTGGGATCCACATGTATTAAACATTTTGAAAAAAGTCATGGTTATCTTAAGTAACCTGATTTTTTTGTGTGTCTGCATGTAGATCTCACACAGGGTATTTTGCTACTGTGATAGGCTCACACTGGGCGCAGCTGCCAATGGGTCATGGGCGTATCCCACCTCCTTGGGTCACGTTGCACTTGGCCTGTTTGCCCACCATGACTTGTTCACACAGGGCATACCTTTGCTTGCCTGGAGGTGATGATCAGAGGTTCCCTGAAGGTTGAGGACCCTTGTTGTGCTTCCTCAGCCTACCTCAGTGTTTCTCAACTGGGGTGCTGCCATCACCACGGCAGCCAGGTAGAACTGCGCTGCAGGCTCTTGGTGGAGCCCTTCCCAATGCTAGTCCTGGAAACAAAGGTGAACAGGGTAACTCCACTTGCCTCATGTACCTCTATTTCCAGG